GGAGAGTTTTATCCTGTTGTCACAGTCTGTCTGTGTCTTGCAGCCCTTGTGTTGCTCTTTGGGCAGTCTTTGGTTCTGCAGATGAGGATCYGGCCAAAATTTGCTTCCTTTCTGAYTTACAGAGCAGATCRTAGTGTACAGGTTTCACAGAGAAATCAGATWGTGACAGTGTAACTAAAAACTGCATTAGAGTATGTGTGCATGAGAAAAATCTCCAGGAATTGGTATGGAATGCCTCACTTTGGACACTTCTGATGTCCGGATGAGGTAACACAGTGACCGTCACAACACCCCTTGAGGCAGCCTGTGCTGAAGATAAAGCAGGATCTATAGGTGGAGTCCTGTCAGGGACTCAAGGACATGGGCTGTGCTCATGAATCCCACTGCTCYTCTAATCCCAGGAAAGGCTTTTTAACCAAGAGGTGATGTTTCCTGTTCCCTGGGGGGCTGCTGAGAGGGCTCTGAGCACCTGAGGCAGCAGGTGCCTTCAGCTGCCAGAACTGGGCATGGTTTTTTGTTGTGCAGTGAGCTGCTCTTCAAAACCCAGTAACATGACTAATTTGGGTGGGTTTATCTAAAAAAACATAAAAGACTGTCTCATGCCAAATTTCAAGACCTTATTTCCAGTGTTAGTCCAAAGACCCACATTCAGCCCGAGAATGACCAAAGCGATGCTCTTCTCCGATTCTGCTTTCATCCTTGGAAGMGTCAAAGGACTTGGAGCATTCAGAAAACATCCAGCACGGGCTGCCAAGGCAGAAAGTTGCAGCCTAGTCCATTCAAGYTGGTAATTTATAAGGAGCCACAACAGGGATGTACGGTGGGTAGCATCTGGCTATTGCAGCTGTGGTTCCTAATGGTTTATAATCGGTAATTCACAGTGTTAGAGCTGACCAGCTTAACGAATCGTAAGAGATGATGGCAGATTGTCACTGAAAGACAGCCTTTAACTTGCATTTTAATCTCCTGCAGCAGTGGTTTAAAACAGTGCAAGCCAACTTCTGTAGGGCCCCTGGGAGYTGGGGAAGACGCATGGTGTACATCCAATTATTATTATTATTTTAATTTAAGAAACCGTTTCTATCCCGACAGCACTGCTGTCGTTGTTTTTAATCCTGCAGGAAACAGCTGGCAACAGGCAGCTCTGAACCACCCAGAGCCCAAAACACTSGTTCGGGGAACGCACAGCAGGGTCACCCCGCGCAGAGGCGGGCGGCAGCCGCGCCGCTCCGCACCTCTCCGCGGAAACTCTGCGAAGTTTTTTTTGGGGGGGGGAACACACACATACACACACACGCACGGGTTGGGGGGGGCTCTTCTGCTGCAGCCGCATCCCCAGCCCCGCCGCTCCTCGCCCCTCCGGAGCGGCCGCCGTGCCGGCGCGGAGGCTCCGCGTCCCGCTGCCCCCCAGCCCCCCCGGCGGTTCCCACGCCCCGCGGCCGCGGAACTTTGCTACGCGGGTGCGGGAGGGAGGGAGCAGCTCCGCACCGCGGCCCCCGCCCGCCCCGCGATGGGCAAGAGCCGTCTTTTTGACGCAGGAGAAATGGCAAATTTTAAGTACGTCATTAATATGGCGCCAAAAGCCTTTTTTTTTTTTTTTT